AACTATATATAAAAAAGAAAAAAATATTCTTATATATTATCAAACTTTATCTAAAAGCTAAACTGAGGTAATTAAATCAAACTAAATAAAACAATTTTTATTAAGTATTTTTATTTTTATAAAAAAAAAAACAAATTATATCATTTGTATACCGTATTATGAAAAAAGTAACATCTATAAATACGTGACCCGAGAAGTAAAATGAACCAAAATATAACTTAATTTAGATCCTCTTTTACCACTCGTTTCATACCCTAACCTGTTTTTTCTATGCAGGCACATTCCTGGAAAGATGTCCGCACCTTTTCGCTCATCAACACCCCTGTATTATTGAGTCACCTACTACCTTTAAATTGTTTGCAAGGCAGCTTCCAGGAAGCTCATCAAAACACCTGCATTATGGAGTCACCTACTACCTTCAAATTCCTTGCTTCTTCTTTTTCATCCCAACCCATCCTCACTCAATTAATTTCATCGATCTTTCCAGCATAAAACTCTTCTCTTTTGGATATTCTTTTTTCTGCTAAATCTTCTTGTTCGAACGCATCTCCACTTGCATATTCAGCTCCGATCCAGTTACTATTCAGAAGCAAAGCTTAAGGCAAGGGAGGTATGTACGTAAATATATTACATATTTCTGCTTCTAATTTATCTCCATATATTTTTGCTTCTTATATTTATTACAGTAGAACATTTTAGAGAGCTACAACCAAAGGGGGCGAATTACTATTTGAAATGTGTATGCTAAAAATGAATTTCTTGGCTTGTAATTTATAAATAAGATTAAGGCTAATTAAATATACAAAAATTAAAATTTGAAAGACTTTAAATGTAGAAAAACCTGTTAAAATTGATGTGTATTTAAATTTCAATTTGAAATATAATTTTTATTACAAAATATTACTTAATACGATCCATATAAGAAGACTAAATATTTTAAAGAATTGATAATACTAACTTCAAGTTAATTTTATTTTATTATTTGATACAAATAATCATTAACTATACAAATATTGCAATGACAAGC